ACAGGCCAGGACTCTGCAGTTTACACTCATCTACAGGCAAGGACTCTGCAGTTTACACTCATCTACAGGCAAGGACTCTGCAGTTTACACTCATCTACAGGCAAGGACTCTGCAGTTTACACTCATCTACAGGCAAGGACTCTGCAGTTTACACTCATCTACAGGCAAGGACTCTGCAGTTTACACTCATCTACAGGCAAGGACTCTGCAGTTTACACTCATCTACAGGCAAGGACTCTGCAGTTTACACTCATCTACAGGCAAGGACTCTGCAGTTTACACTCATCTACAGGCAAGGACTCTGCAGTTTACACTCATCTACAGGCAAGGACTCTGCAGTTTACACTCATCTACAGAACAGTACTCTACAGTTTACACTCATCTACAGGCCAGGACTCCAGTGTTTACACTCATCTACATGTCAGGAATCTGCAGTATACACTCATCTACAAGCCAGGTCTCTGCAGTTTACACTCTTCCACAGGTCAGGACTCTGCAGTTTACACTCACCTACAGGTCAGGTCTCTGCAGTTTACACTCTTCTACAGGTCAGGACTCTGCAGTTTACACTCACCTACAGGCCAGGTCTCTGCAGTTTACACTCATCTACAGGTCAGGACTCTGCAGTTTACACTCATCTACAGACCAGGACTAAACAGTTTACACTCATCTACAGACCAGGACTAAACAGTTTACACTCATCTACAGGCCAGGACTCTGCAGTTTACCCTCATCTACAGAACAGGACTCTACAGTTTACACTCATCTACAGGCCAGGACTCTGCAGTTTACACTCATCTACAGTAGATAGGGCCCCAACAATAGTCAGGTGATGGGACACATAACCCTCCATGAACAATAGAATCAATCAAGACACTAACGGCCTATTGTTAGGCAATGGCCCTCTTTTACATGTGACCAACCTGTTTGTCCACCATGTGGAGGCGGAGCTTATAAGGCTGAGTTCACCTTAAACTCATCAGACTGAAGAAGTCTCTTGGAGGAGAACGAACGAAACGTTTCATGAAAGAAAAACCCATCCAGAGGACCTATTTTTTGAGATGGTACCTGGTAGTTCCTACGGTGGTTCTGGCTGATATTGGGGGGCTGATAGGCCACCTTCATGTGGTTCAGGTCCAGCCAGGTGAAGGACTGGACAGGTTTTGTGTGATCATCCAGGTGGGTGATAAATCCATCTTCAGGTGGGATGGTCACGTTGAACACTAACTGGTCCTGTGGTGTCTCTTGATCCTTGGCGTCCAGAGTGGCTGTGGTCAGTGGGGTCAGAATGAACTGGTCCACCTCCAGGATGAAGGAAGCCATAAAACTGGCCTGAGGAGGCTGGTTCTGCATGCCCCCCTGGATCAGAACTGGCAACCACATGGCCTCAGACTGGAAGACAGAAAGCAGCATGTTACCAGCACGCGGTAAAAACCCAAAGTGTGTGAAAATCAACATGTCTGTTGATGAAGTGATGGAAGAGGTGTAGACTAAAACTGACAGCTCTGTGGAAGAATCACCTTCAAGTGCTAACAAGGATGTTTGGATCCGTTAAACCTATCAGAACCTCTGGCTTTATGAAGGTTGGACCATACTTTCTGACTGTCAACAAGCATACCTTGTTCTCACCTCCAGATCCAGCTCAGACCAGACAGCATCTACAGATTCTTCTCTGGAACAGTTTTATACAAAAGCCTTCAGGCTCAGGTTAGATCAAAGCATATCTTTCCTCCTGTACCTGCAACAGGGTCCGGGTGGTCTCTTCCCTCATCTCCACCCTGATGGAGATGAAATCCACCTGTGGAGATGGAGGACTGAGGTGCTGATATTTCAGACCTGAGCTCAAGAAGTCCTTGCAGCTTGTTTTCAGGAAGTGGACCTCTGTGGTGTCGTGGAGACACGGTTTGTTCCCAGGACAGAATCCTGCTGCCTGTCGTCCTGCCACAGACGAGGAGAGATCAGAATCAGTTTTTCTTGTGTTCTGGTTGAATTCATGGAATCTGCTGTCCGAAGACTGTGGGACCAGAACCTGTTGTTATGGTACCCTGTAGTATCATGCCCGGTCCAACATACCTTTCCTCTGTAGGTTGCCCTCTTGGACCAGCCGACCCACAGTCGGGACGTTGGTGTCACTGTTCATCAGCCTGACGGTGCACACCAGGTCTCCCAGAGTCCTGATGGTCAGCACAGAGCTGTCAATAGCATTGGACAAACCAAAGATCTGAGGAACCACCAGCGACGTGCTGCCCAGCTCCACCACACGGGACTCTGAGTCCATCACCTGGACCCTGATGGTCATCCTCTCCACTAGAGTTTTAGAGAAGGTGAACCTGGGATTGAAATCAAAATAGGACGTCACAGTTTGGAGCGAGACCCGCAGAAACAACAGAAACCCATAGAGAACACAGAGGCCCACAGAAACAACAAAAACCTAGAGAGACAACAGAGACCCAGAGAGACAACAGAGACCCAGAGAGACAACAGAGACCCAGAGAGATGACAGAGTCCCAGAGAGACGGCAAGGACCCAGAGAGACAACAGAATACCAGAGAGACAACAGAAAACCAGAGAGACAACAAAAACCTAGAGAGACAACAGAGACCCACATAAAACCACAAGAGCAAAGGAATCATTGTATGTGTGTGGACACGTTTTACCTAAACTGTGGGAACCATTTTCCCAACATAGCAGCCTCGTGGGGACTGAAAGTGCATTGTAGGGATCAATGCCTGGTCCCCATGGGTATGAATGCATATTACGGGTGGGAGGTTTGGTGTAGGACCAAGCTGTGAATTGAGTTTAGATTAGTTTTAGGGTCAGGTAAGCACCTGGTTAGGGTTAGGGTTGGTGGTCAGGGTTAGGCTGTCAAAACTACTGGAAATGAATGGAAATCAATGAACGGTCCTAATAAGGATAAAAATACAAACCTGTCTGTGTGCGTGTATACATGTCATGGTGTGTGGACATATTTTACAGTATATACTATGATTATGAGGACATTCTGACATTTTGTGGACCTTTGCCTGGTCCACACAATGGGAAAAAAATCATTTGTGGATCAAGGTTTAGGGTTAGGCTGTAGAAATGAATGGAAATCAATGCAAAGTCCCCATGAGGATAGAAGAACTAACATGTGTGGTATCTCACCTGTAGACTCTTAAAATAACCAAGTCCTGGTCCAGAAGAGGACTACCATTGTGGACATATTGAACCTCATCCGACAGGAACCTGCAGTCAAACATCTGCAGAACAGAGACCCAGATGGTAAATGGCCTGAATTCATTTAGCGCTTTTTCAAGTCCTTACAGGCTCCAATGGTGTTTTCACTTGTCTGAAGTGTTCTCACCTGTGGAGTCAGTTTTCCAACTCTCTGGCTCACTGGTTCATTCTTCACCACCTCCACCTTACAGTCAGTGTTTGGATCAACGCTGATGTTCAGGTCAGACTCTGTGATGAAAACTGAGYGTCCTCTAAACACTCGCACATCTGAATTCACCAGAACCACAGACCAGCTGAGGTTGGCTGTCAACAGGAGGAGGAGTGATGGTCCAAAGGCGTCCATGCTGCAGCTCTGACCGGACTTCTTTCTTTTATTTATAAATAATGAAGTCTTCAGATTTACTAAGCTTTAAAAGCCTTATGATCTGCTGAGAGATGCTGGAAGAACCAACAAACATCTCATTTCAGGCTGAGGAACATCCAATTGCCAAGCCTAAAGGTCCACCAGCCTCAAGCCTAAAGATGAAGGTCCACCAGCCTTAAGCCTGAAGATGAAGGTCCACCAGCCTTAAGCCTAAATATGAAGGTCCACCAGCCTTAAGCCTAAAGATGAAGGTCCACCAGCCTCAAGCCTAAAGATGAAGGTCCACCAGCCTTAAGCCTGAAGATGAAGGTCCACCAGCCTTAAGCCTAAAGATGAAGGTCCACCAGCCTTAAGC